CAGTGCAGGCTGCTGGGTACAGCTGTGCAAAAGTCCACTCTGTCACTACACCCACGTATGACACTGACATGGTGGGGGAGGTCAGGTCCAGCCTGTTGGGAGTGAACTATAGCAACTCAGGGATCTGAGAGCCCAGGAGTCCAGACCAGGGCTGTGGCAACCAGGGCCAAGCCCCTGGTAGCATGAGCACACGCAGCATCTGCCTTGAGCATAGGGTCTAGGCTAGAAAGTAGGAAGGTGGGCTGTTCATCTGAAAATGAGACCTCTGTGACTTCCAATGCTCCTGAGAAACAGTGTGAGCAGGAGCTATATAATGGATAGGGACAGACGATAGATACCAGTAGTGGATCAATTGATAACCAGACAAGCTATCCATGCGCATGTGCAAACAATCTCTTGTTGATAAAAAGTCCTTCCATAGGGGAGACATAAACAATGTCTTTCTCCTAAGGCCCCAATCACATCCACCAGAGTTCAGTCTGTGTTTATTGGGCTTCCTTACAGAGCACTGGGGAAGGGTTTCTTATAGGAGTGAGGGTGCTCCTCTTACAGGAGTGAGGTGCTCCTCTTACAGGATGCCACACTAGAGGTCTTCATCCAGCAAGGTGGCAGCTTTTCCATACCTGCATCGATGGAGCCTCCTCTTACTATACACTCTAGCTCCACCCAAGGTCATGTAATATGGAACAGCTAGATACTCAGGTGAGGTCTTATGACTTCCCCACCCCCTCTGTGAGAGGGAATAATCCCATCTGGGTGATGGCTAGAAAGTGGGCAGAGGATGGCCCTGTGTCTCCATATAACCATATATATTATCTTCCATTGTCTCTTTAATGCTCTCTCTCCCTCCCCCTTCTCCCTGTCTCTCTGTCTCTCTCTCTCTCTCTCTCTCTCTCTCTCTCTCTCTCTCTCTCACACACACACACACACACACACACACACACACACACACACACACGGGGAAGTAAGGGTGGGGACCACAGGATTATCCGGGCAGAGAACATCTACTAACACCTAAGGCTCATTTGCTTACTGGAGACCCAGGGGAGCTAAAGCAGGCTCAGTCTGGAGACCTGAGACTGTATGGGGGCGGGGGGGGGGGAAGGGTGGGAGATGGGTGAGCAGGGAGGTGGGGGATGGGTGGGAAAGCCAGAGCAGTAGAGTAGTGTGGTATCTGAGGCCAGGAAAAAGGGATACACCAGCCTAAGAAGGGAGAATGGCTCACTCCTTCCTTTACCTCATTCTAATCAGGCTCCCAAAGTGTTGGCTGGTGCAAGTCCAGGCTGGTGAGTGGTATCTCCCTCGTTGGTCCACAAATTCAAAGGCTGCTACAGATGTATTTCCTGTTGCAGTGCAGTGAAAGTCTCATGTAGTCCAAATTGGCCTTGAACTCACTGTGTACCAAGGCTGGCCTTGAACTGCTGAGCTTCTTAACTTCCAAGTGCTGGGACCACAGGTATGTGCCACCATATCCCCAATGCCCATCTCTTCAAGAAACAATTTCACAGAGGCTGCCAGAAGTGATGTTTTGCTAGATTCCTGGGGATTCTTAGCCTCTTCCCACCCTTTCGTCCTTTTAGTACCCACACTTATTACCCTAAAACATACTTCATCTCCATAGATGTGCCTCTTCTCATACAGCCCCAAACACCCCAATCCTCTCCCCGAGGAGCGCTGTATACTCTTAATAACCCACAACTTAAAATACTGTGATTCGAAAGTGCAATTCTCACATACTGATAAAAGTCTATAGCTTACACTGCATGGGAAGGGAATAAGCACGAAGAGAAAACAAAGATTTGCATCATGCATGGGCCTATGCACAGCTGTACTTATAACAAAGAGGAATTACTACTGTCACAATCCTTACTTTCGTGACTGGCTGAAGGTGGTAGCTGGCTTTACAATCTACCTTTTATGTGTTCTGTATTTGCTCTGACTGAACCATGTATCTCAACATTGTAAAGCACCCATTCCCTCCTGGAGAGTCTGGGCCTTTATCATGGTTAATTTTAATGGCCACTTTGACTGGATGAGGGACCACATATGGCATTAATGAAGTGAATCACATCTAGGCATGTCTGTGAGGACATTTTCAAGGGGTATTAGCGCAGCGGGAAAGAACTGTCCTGATTGTGGCAGCTCCATCCATGGTCTGAGTCTCTTAGTACAAAGGAAGAGAAAGCCAGCATTCCTACTTCAGCTTCTAGAACCTTCTAGGAGTGAGCAGATTCCTGCAGCCATGCCTTTCTCACCATGATGGACTGCACCCTCTCAAATGTGAGTCACAAGGTATCTTCATCCCCAAGTTGGTTAGCTGAGTGTTTTATCATTGTGATGAGAAAGCCAGTTCATCATTCTGGCTCCATCAAGCTGGTGTTAACCACTGATTGAATCACAGGACTCAGCAGGAAGCTGCTCCCTAAGTGACACCCCACCCCATGTTCCATACTTCCTCCTCCTTCTATCTGCCACACAGCTGTCCAGTTTCTCCATGTGTACTGGCTAGTCTTATGTCAACTTGACACAAGCTAGAGTTATCTGAAAGGAGGGAGCCTCAATTGAGCAAAAGCCTCCACAAGACATAGCTATAGGGAGTTTTCTTAATTAGTGATTGATCGCGGGGGGGTCCCACCCCTGGGCTGCTGGTCCTGGTTTCTACCAGCGTAAGCACCTGAAGAGGCTAGCAGAGGTTTACAAGTGGTTGTAAAAACCAGTGTGGGTGCTGGGACCCGAACTTGCATCCTCAATCAGTGCACACTCTAACTGATGACTGCCTCTCCAGCTCCTCGTTCTCTATTTTGAGACAGGGTCTTGTAGCAGAGGCATGACTATCCATGTCCCGGAGGCTGACCAACTTCTGACCTGCCCACCTCCCAAGTGTTGTGATTACAGGCATGTGCCACCATGACTGGACAGAAAGCGGTTTTTCTGGGGGTGGGAGGGGTCGCAGCAGTACCATTGCCACTTCACCTGTTGACTCCTGGATGCCATAAGGACTAGGTGGCCTTGTAACCAAAGGGACACTCCACACATAATTCTATTAAGGCAGCCCTTGGGACATGAGGAACATGCAAGACCTGAGAATTCTCGGAGCATGGGCTCACTGAAGACTCCTGTTTGTGGAGAATTTTGATCAGAGGCATTGCTGTGGAACATCATGATGGTGGATAGGGCACTCTGTAAGTGTGCAGATGGTAGTTTTAGCAGGATCATTAACCAAGGAAGGAAGCAAACACAGTGTTAATTCCAGTGAGAGTCACTGTCCCTTACTATGACTAAAGATGTGTTGTAGCACGGTTTAGTGCTTGCCTCTGCTCATGGTTGATTGGGCACTCAACAGTAGCCAAAGCCATATCAGCCTTGAAGAGTGGAAAGCTACTGATGAGCCAATGTATAACCTCCATTCCCACCATGGATACCACTGTGGGTGGGGAGGCTACCTCTCTTTAGCTTAGTCAATCTACTCAAATGTTCACATTCCAAAGTACAGAGTCCCTCATCCCCAAGGCAATGTCTTTACATTAATAGACACCCTGCATGGCTGTACCACAGTCACAGGATGACGGTCTCTGTCTGATGTCCAGCCAGGGACATCTGCTGCTGTAGGAGACACAGGTCCTTCCAGCCCAGACCTAGGAGCCCAGGGTCTACATGGCACCTCAACTAGGTCTCTGGAACCCAGAACACATCTTTCTCTTCCATTGTTTTGTCCCTTAAGGCCAAACAAACACCATTCTGTTTCTTGGCTTTTCAAGTTGTCTAGAGGTCCCATAGTCAGAGTCGCAGCTCTTTGATTAGAAGCATTTAAGGAAGAGTTGGTCCAGTGGTGAGATTTCCCATATCCCTTATTCACAGTTCATTATTATGGTGTTCATTACTATGGTGATGGTGGAGGCAGCAGTATTTTAATTCTGTTAGATAGCCCACTCCAGAAACTTTTCTGCCTTAGGACTTTCTCTGTGGTTATCTTAGAGACCTCCAATTGCCTTGTCATAGAGGTGCAACATTCATTCTGGTAGCTGACAGGATTTTCTTTCTTTTTTTTCTTTCTTTGTTTTTTTGGATGTGACATTTGTATTTGGTGCAGAGATTTGTATTTGAAGTGGGTAGCAACTACAGGAATTTGGGGCCAGGGGTCATGAGCACAAGACAGAGGAGACCTGAGCACAATCAGGTTTGACCCCAGAAGGCAAAGGTCAAGGATCAAAGGCTGGCTGCACTGGTAATGACCTCAGGTGGGTTGAGAACATCACCAGCAGGGTGACAGTCACAATCTCCTTTTCTGGAGTACCCTGAACCACAGACCCACCCATCCCCTCAGCACTCTCAAGGTGCAGCCAGTTCTCCACAGGCAAGGCCCACCCAACCTTCCTCTGTGATGCCCTCCCAACTGGGGTCTATTGACCCCTTGAAACCATCCTTTCCTGAGCCATTCTCTCAGGCACCTCTTAGCAATCCCCATTCACTAGTTTTCACTCAGCCTGAGTCAGAGCTGAGTGAGGAGGGAGCCAACAGCAGCTCTGGGGCTGGGAGGAAGGGCTCGTGTGGGGTAACTACCATCAACTCTGTTCCCCAAGATGGATCTGAGCCACCAAGTCATCAGTAGCCCAGGCTGTGGGCACAGGCTGGACTTCTGGCCTAAGGATTAAGGTGGAAAAATACATAGACGTCATGGGAAATCTTTTAGGGGAGTTGGTATCATTAACTGCATCATGTTCATTAAAAGCATGCAAGTAATCCCAGGGCTGGGGAGGCTGAGGCAGAAATCTCAGTTCAAAGGCAGCCTGAAGAAATGCTGGGCTGCGGTGGTGCATGCCTTTAATCCCTGCACTTGGGGAGCAGAGCTCTGAGTCTGAAGCCAGCCTGGGCTACATAGCAAACTCCAGGTTAGTCGGGACAGAGGAAAAGGATGGAGTGAAGGGTTCACCCTGAAAACTAGAGCCAACACCATGTGAAATAGACATAAAATTCAATCCCTTTTTAAACACATTCAATAATACAATTAAAACAAGTAAAATTTATTTCATAAAACAAAATATAAAATAATGTTATATGACCCGTATCCCATATCTCAGAAAACCAAGTATTTTGTTCACATACTTCATTAGAATATTTTTACCTAAGTATACCACTAACAATCCTACTCATACAAATGACCTATTCTACTTCCCTGAACCTAAAGAGACCCGCAATTGTATTTCTGATACAGGATTTGTTATAAAATTACATTGTAAAGTTTTTTATTTTTTAAATATTTAAGTGTGTACAAAACATTCCCCTGATGCAGTGATGTATGTCCATAAGAGCTTTCTAGTCAGCACTCCGTAGCTAAGCTTCAAAGTTCTCAAACATGGTACTCGCCAAAGTCGGCCCACTTTGGGGTGCATCGATGATTCACAATGACAGTTGTGACACTGCATGGGCACAGCTTGCTGACACTTGCATACACACCTCACAGTCACTGCAGCTGAGTCCCCCATTAGCTCCACTCAGGGTGCAGAAACCCCCATGGTGGTGACAACTCAAGAGCAGGCGGCTCTGCCACTTGAGACGGCTTTTTGCTAGGTAACACTTGCTTGTGTTTGGGAAAATGCATTCTACCTGCTTGGTCCACATTATCAAAAATAACCTCTTCTCTGGGGAGGGTTTTCAGAGTAGATCTTCCTGCTTGCCTCCACTATCTGTACACAGACACCACATATATATATATATTATATTTATATCAGACATGTATGTACACATTTACATGCAGGCCTTCAAAAAGATATTGCACTTATATACAATGCAGCTTTTAACTGAACTAACTTCACACTGTCACCCACTCTGGTTCTTCATAAGAAAGGCAGTCCACATGTCCAAGGAAGTTGCAAGGAGGATTCCAGGAATGCACCCTATTTAGTAAACATTAGAGGAGGAGAGGTGGAGGGAGAGGGCTCAATCCTTTATTGCTCAGGGCTGGGCCCACTCCTCAAGGCAGCTGGATTTAGATTGAGGCCAGGCAAGAACACAGAGTCCTCAAAGACAAGCTATTGCCTTCCCAACTCTTGCCAGCCAGCAGCCCACCACTATCATGGACATAGGCAGATCTCCTGAGATTTGGTAAGTAATGTAGCAGATAACCCAAAGGTTCCCACAGTCTGTTTTATCCAGTACAAGGTTCTCAGAAACTCAAACACAGCAACACATGATTTCTATCACACAGGAAATAGCCACACAGCTTGCTACACGCACTGCCATCTCCTATGTGAAAGGTTCCTTCCCTGATATTCCAGGTGTTGGCAGGGTGGGTGCCCCAGCTCCTCAGCTGTCCCAACTGTAAGTTCTAGGGAACGTTTTCTCGGAGCTTCCATACCTGGGGGCTGAGCGCACCCTACACCTCAAATCTCTGTCAGGGTGAGCTTGTACGACCCACCAGTTTCTTCAATGTGCAACTGGAAGGTGTCTTCATTGGAGTAGTGTTTCACAATGTTGTCGTCCATGTTCACCAGGATCCTGAACAAAAACAGCACATGAGTCCCCACCATCCTACTTGGTTGCGCAGCAAGGCTTGGATTTGCTTGTTAGCTGGGAGTTGGGCGACTGTGACTTGTGGGAACATTGTTACACCCTCCCATGCTATGGCTGCCTCATTCAGAGAAAACAGAGAGCCCCATGGTGCCTATGGCAAGGACTAGTGAGAACCAGGTAGGGAGGGAAGGAGTTAAGGATCCCAGTGATGGAAGCTGGAGGCAGACAGGAAAACACTGCCCATTTTATCACATCCAGCCTGGATGTTCACACACTAAGTGGTACTCAATATGGGCTGTTCTACATTAGAATTAGTAGAACTCATCTTCATGGAGTCACAGCTGCCTGACCTATTTATTACCTTCCTGGAAAGCCACCCTCAACATTTAAACAAAGTAGTAAAGCTTAACCCTTCCTGTTAGATTCATCTTGAAAATTCCAATTAGCATTTAATTTAGAAATAAGACAAATACTCTACTTATTCATGCCAAAGAACACAAACACTTCAACTAAAACATAACTAAAAATCGTAATTCTGGAGCCAGCAAGATGAGTCAGCAGGTAAAGGTGCTTGCAGCCAAATCTGGAGATCTGTGTTCCATCCTCAGTATCCACATGGTAGAAGGAAAGAACTGACTCCTGAAAGTTGTCCTCTGACCTCAGACCTGCACTGAGTCATACACACAAGCACGCACACACACTAACTAAAAATTTCTGGACAAGAAGCAATTTTCTATAGCTTGAAATTACAACCTAAGGTAGGGCATATCCAAGAAGAAAGGGAAAAGGCTTTGGGGTCAGTCATAACTGGTTTGAGTCACAGTTCCGCATCAGCAAACCACAGGACCACGGAGCACCACACCACCAAACCACAGGACCACGGAGCACCACACCACCAAACCACAGGACCACGGAGCACCACACCACCAAACCACAGGACCACAGAGCTCCACATCAGCAAACCACAGGACCACAGAACTCCACACCACTAAACCACATGATCACGAATAAGCCCTTCCTCTCCTGAGCCTGAGACACCTCACTGACAAACACTAAAACCCATCTCAAAAACATGAGATGAAAAGTAGGTGAGTGGTGAAGATGTGTCCAGGCTCACACCTGGCTGGTGATGGGAAAGGAGGGCCCTGACATCTTTAGTCAGCTTCATTGCACACCCTGGAGTGTGGAGCCGCTTCACCGCTGCCAGACAGAAAAAAACTTATCTTCAAGTTTTATAAGGAAAAGAAAGTGAGGCATGGCTCATGCCTACACTCCATGCACTGGGGAGTCTGAGGCAAGAGAATTGCCGTGAGTTCAGGGCTAGACCAGGCTACAGAGCATGACCCGAATCACTCTTCCACTTCTTCCCACACAAATAAAAGCAGAAAGCCAAGCTTTAACACCTGAATTTTCATGGCTGCTTCTGGACTGCGCATCACATGAAAGCCATGTGACATCAGTGCTATGGACGACAGTCATCGGGGATACACACAACACTGGTCATTACTCACTCACCCTTTTTTGCACTTCTTAAATATTTTCCCAATCTTCTCATGGGGGACATCATACTTGTCTGAGATCTAGAAGAACAGAATAGGAATGCTGTTGTCAAAGTTTTTAAAAACAGCCACACAATTATATTCAACTTGCCATTTTAGCTTTTTTTTTTTATTTTTGTTTATGTTTATGTGTAGACACATTTACTAATTTTGAATTTCTGTGAAAGAGTGTTTTGTCTGCATGTGTGTCTGTGTGCCACATAATGCCTGGTACCTCTGGGTCCTCGGAGACTGGAATTATAGACAGCTGTGCACCATTGTAAGAGTCCTGAGAACTGAACCCAGGTCCTCTGGAAGATCAGCCAGTGCTCTTAATCACAGAATCTTCTCTTTAGTCTACCAGCATGCATGTGTGTATGAGTGTGTGTGTGTGCCTGTGTGTGTGTTTTGAGATAAGGACTTACTATGGCTAAAACTGGCCTCAAATTTGGAATTCCTCCTGTCCTGCTCCACCTCTCCCCCAATATTGGGTTTTACTGTGTAGCCCTGGCTGTCCTGGAACTCACTCTGGAGACCAGGTTGGCCTCCAGAGATTTGCCTGCCTCTGTTTCCTAATTACTGGGATTAAAGGCGTGCCTCACCATAGCCCAGCTTTCAGCCTCCTGTTTTAAAAAGATGCCTGAATGTCAAGACCCAGACTATGTCGTGGGCAGGGCAAGGGAAGATGGTGTTTCCACTACTTAATTCAGATGTCAGCAAGCCAACTGTCTGAAAGAAACATCCATAGGACCATGTGACAAGGCTTGGTTTCGTGATTCAGAGGCTTTGTGTTCAGAGTGGCTCTAGTTTATGTGGCAACTCCTTGACTTGTTCTGCCGCCTCTGCTCCATCCAGGAGCTAATACTTTGTCAGCTGTGCTCACTGAAGCCTCTGTGCACATCAGTTCATGCTGCTGGTCTGATGAATGACATGTATTCATCCTTGAGATTCATGGACAAGTCACACAGTGTAAGTCAAAAGTTTGTGCCATCTTTAAAGTATGCAAAAGCCAACATGGTGGGCATGCCTGAGATCCCAGCACCCAGGAGGCTAATGCTGGAAGATCACTGAGCTGAGGCCAATCTAAGCAGGAAGGGTCACACGGAGGGATGCTGGGACACATGTGGATGTCTGGCTATTTCATTGTCTTCTGTCTTCCTATCGGGGCAGACCACTCCATTTGGGATTGTGTCATTTACTCTCGTGGCTCCAATGCCCACAACAGCACCTGGACAAAGCTAAGTGTGTTAACCATGTCTGAAATCCCAGCAATGGGGAGTCTTGAGGCCAGAGTGGGCTATATAAGCAAGTTCTAGACCAGCCTGAACTACACAGCAAAACATAGGTTTTTGTGCATTTGCTTTTAAAAGACTTTCTAAGTGGGTTCATCATACTGCAATTGCCAAGGGAGCTAAGGGACATATTTCTAGCCCAATTTCACTTTGAGATAAACATTTCTATGGTTTGTAAGGGCTGGTGCTGGGTCCTCCCATGCTTCTCCCACTGACATCCCCATGGGGACATGAGCTCAGCTGAGTGCAGCCCTGTGTCAGCTCCTGGGACTGGTGGTCATCACAGGTCACACAACTACACCCTCTCAGATATACTCTGGATAAGGTCTGTCATGGTTGGCAAAGGCAAGGAAGGAGCAGGGGCAGACTGGGCCCTGATGAGGAGCAGGCCAGACTGGGAGCTGGAGTTTTTGTTTGGAGACAGGTTTGTCTTAAATACCCATGTTTCTGCCCTAGCTTCTAGAGTTCTGGAAGTTACAGATATTGCTCTTAAGTCTGACTGAACCACTAGTTTATGGATGACACTTTTAAGATTTTACTATTGTCAACTTCTATGTGGTTTGCTACATGGATTTTCTTTTAATCAAGAATATAAAAGTTAAACTGCCCCCTAGGCCATCACAAATGGAATTCAACAGGACACACATGACAGAGGGATCCACCTACCAACTCCAGGCTGGTCACAAGGGACAGACAGACCTGCAGTCAAGCGAGGATGCCCAAGGCAGGTCAGATGGATGCAATTCTACAGGCATACAAAGGATGGCTGGGAAAGAGGTCAAGGTTCCAGCATGACAGAGGAATCGGGTTGTCTAATAAAATGCTTCAGCGTGACTGTGAGGCCACTTCATTGTCACAGAGGGACTGTGGTGTGTGTCCTACTTACCGCCTCCATCAAGCCCTTCAAAGACGGAGACTTGAGCATCAGGGCATCGAAGACCTCTTCAGACTCTTTTCTGACATAGAGCAGTACTGGGTAGGGGCAGGGAGAAAAGAGTTAATTCTCCTAAGCGAGATTCATGAAAACGGCCACAAGTACTAGTTAAGTCCCATGAGGGACAGCAACATATACCACCACAGTGTGAGCCCCAAGACCCAACTGCAGCTTCCCCTGAACTCTGCCCCCTCCCAACTTGGTGGTCTGAAAGGTGAACATGCAGGGGGGGGGGCAGAGAAGCCAAGTTTATGAGCTCACTGCCAGCTAAGAATTCCTATCTATCACTGGGATCTACACACCTCTCTTCGGTTCTTCTGTCCGGGTCATCTTAGCAGGTGGAGGAACTAGAAAGTCATCTTCGGTTCCGAATGGCCCCCTTTTCAAGACAGACCTGTGGGTAAGCCGCAGCACAGTTAGGTCATGCCCTTCAACTCTGGAGAACTGCATGAGCGGTCACTACACTTCAGACTCAAACTCCTTCATCCTTTATGTGGTCCAAGCTGGATGAGGGCTCATGAGGCCTGGGCCACCCAAATGACATGCTGGGCGGGCTTCATTGCCTGACACACTTCCACCAACTCAACAATAAGCACACGAAGGCAGAGCCAGGTCTGCTGTGATACACGACACACCTAGGCAGGCAGGCTGCCTCCTGCGTTCAGCTTTAAGGAGTCATGGGTTTTATGTCACAGGTCAGGAGACTCTGCAAGTTGTATCAAGTGGACAGTTGTGGCTAAAATGTCAGGCCCACAGGTAGGACAGTCTATTAGAAGGCGTGGATGACAACCACAGTGTAGCTTCTAAAGGCTTCCATGGAAATAGCAAGGGAAAGTGGAAAAGGAGCCTGAGAGGAAAGTTCACAGGTCCGAGCCACAGCTGGCAAAGCATGTGTGCTGGGGAAAGGCTATGGAGGTAAGCGAAGAAATAGAAAGAAGGACAGAACAAGCCCAGAAGTATCAGGGCGCCTCAGCTCCTCGGTGGCAATAGCACTTGGTGAGGTGGCCCAGGGGCAACACGATTAATGGACCCGGTGGCACAGGCCTAGTGGCAACAAACGTGGGCCGGGAGCTGCTCAGAGAGGAGGGAAACCAGAAAAATAACCAAGAGAGCCAGGTGTGGGGGCTTTGTGCCTGCATTCCAGCACTCAAAAGCCCGAGGTGGGAGCTGCTCCTGAGCTGGATGCCAGGATGGGTCACACAGTGAGTCCTAGGCCGGCCTGGGCCAGGGTACAGCCCTGTCTCAAAAGCCAAAAACAAAACTGGGACGCAATGAGGCAAAGGAAGCCAGCAGTAGCTGCACTCCATCTCCATGCACTTTTGTGTGAGCAGAAAAAGGAATGGCCAAAGCAGACCCCAGTATTCCTTCAAAACTGAGTCCCAAAGCCATCATGAAGGATGAGCCAGGCTGGGGTCTGCGCAGGCTGTGGATATTCTAACAGCAGGGGACTGTGGTGGTGTAAGGGGGCCAGGGGAATGAGCAGGCTAGCTACAGAGAGGAGCATCAAGACTTCAGAGGGACATCTAGGGTCCCTTGTCCTGAGTTCTACACACTGTCTCCCCTACGGGAACTGGCGTTTCTTAAAGACTGGTTCTGTGGCAAGACAGGGAAGATCCCAGCACTAAAAGTGAGTCAAAAGGAGCGGGGCTGCTCCAAGGGACAAGAGCCCTGTGTCAACACAGGCAGTCAGTGAACCCATCCCTGTGAGTGGAAGGGATGGGTCACAACTTAAAAAGTGAGGGGCAGAGCCTGGGACTGAGTAAGTTGCAAGTTTGGGGGTGAACAAGGTATTTGAGGGCGCAACTGTCTCCACAGAGTAGACAAAAGGGAAGAAATCTCAGCAGAGATTTAGTCGTGTGGTCACTGTGGTCACAGTGAATGAGATAAACTGAGCAGGGTGTCAAGGGGAAGAGGTATCAGAGGGCAGGGTTGCTGTAAGTAATCCTGCCAATACATACATCTGGAGTGTGCAATGAGGCCTCAACTGCAGATGCCCCAAAAGTTAAGTCAAAGCAGGCTGTCCTAGACTGAGGTAGTTCAAGACACAGTACCATGGGAGGCTCTGAACAGTATCTGACCTTGCATACGGTGTTACCATTCCCTTCCTCATCGTGGGATATAAGCAAGGTCCTTGTTGGTGGGAGACAGACACCCAATACTGGGACTCGGGGTCAGCTCCGACGGGTCTTGCTATGATGTCCTGGCCTGGGACTCACTGTGTAGTCCAGGATGGCCTGAACTCACATCTTCCTGTCTCATCTCACAAGCTCTAGGATGGCAGGTGGGTGTCGCCACACCTGGTTGAGAAACTTATGCTCAGATAGTGCAGATGAAAACAAGTTCTTTGTATCTTATCTCTACATTTTTGGTGAGTTTGAGTTTATTAGAGTAAAGCAAAACATAGCCTTACCCTTCACCTTCCAGTTCTTCAGAGGGGATGGAAAGAACCTAAAACCAAAAACACAAGATTCAGATTGCTTCCCAAACTTGTTCAAATATTTCAGATGATAAGTAAATTAGTCCCCAAATGGAGATAATTTTGAATGGGACCAGCCTAATACTAAACCATTCCTCTAAAAAGACACAATCCTGTAGTCATATCTTTTAACACCAGATTTTTACAGTTCTCTTCAACTTGGCTGACTCAGAGGCTGGTCTCTGTGGCCCATGGACCAAGCCTGATGGAGGCTGGCTGATGTAAACATTTAGTGAAATGAGGTCCCACTCATTTTCAGTCACTGTGTGTGGCTCCTTCTGCAACAGAGTGGGAGAGCGGAATAGCACCCAGTGGACGACACAGATCACAAAAGTCTGAAGCATTCACTGGTGCCAGCCCCTTCAAAGAAAAAGCCCTGAGCTCTCACTAGAATAAGAGTATTGGCAATGCCTCTGAAAATTCATTAGTCCCTTACAAATCTTCCCACTAAGTGCATGGCAGGGTCGCTTTTGTGAATTTACCTGACCTCAGTATAAAAAGAAAAGCCACACTCTCCTGAAACTCCTGTCCCACAAAGCAGGCTTTTAAATTTATCATGGGTTGCCAAGACATGGCTGTAGAGTACATGGCACATGCCAATGACATCTAACATGTAGAGTACATGGCACATGCCAATGACCACAGACTCAGACTCCAAATGTGATGCTACTCTCAACACCTTTAAATGAGCTACAACATGAAAGAAAGCACGTGGAACTGAGATCGACAGGTTCAGCACTGTATCTTCGGACCAGCACCATTTACCATCCCATTGTAATGGGTATCACGTCACCATGACTGAAAGTTCCAGAGAGCTCACTGATTGGTCAGGGACCACTGCAGTCTGAGTTTCTTTTTGCCAGGCCCTGCAGCCTCTCCCGGAAGGCTGGTACCTACATGACTGCCCCGCTGCAGGTTGGTAAAATGCACGTCAGGGATGAAGAGGACAGGCTGGGTATCCAGGTCCAGGAAGGGCTTGAACACTGTGATGTCTGTCCGTTTGTGTGAGGGAAGCAGCTGCACTTTAACATCAGAAACTGGGGAATCAAAAACAGAAGCCACCAAGAGGTTAGTTATGGGCTGGCTGTGTTAATCCCAGCATTTGGGAGGCAGAGGCTGCTTCATTTCTGTTACTTGGAGGCCAGCCTGGTCTATATAGTGAGCTAGAACCAACATCCACTGGCCTGCAGTTCTGTGGGTAAGCCTCTGCCCTCCTCAGCAGCTGCTGGTGAACACCTTGATGCAGTACTCTCCCCCATCCAGCTGGCACTCCCCCGGGAACTGGCCAGGGCTCTTGCCTTTTCTCTTGCTTTGCTTTCGCTCTTCATCCCTGATTTTCCGCTCAGCTCCCTGCAGACAAAGGAGACAAGAGCCTGCCCGTCAGATCCTCTGGAAACTACTAGGCTCTCTGCAAGATAGTGCTATCGCAAGGGCTTGCCACCCCTCCCATTTCCCCGTACAAGCCCATCCCTCTCACTGAAGGACATCATAAGCATGTGTGGAAATGTCATATGGACTTATCTACAATTAACATATCTAATAACACTTTCACAACTTTTTAAACACATTCCTAGCTACATGAAATCAACCACAGGGAACATTTTAAATAATAAATAAAGCAAAATTCCTGTTGATAACAAATGCAGCCGGGTTAAAGGCAAAGATGAGAGAACCTGCTAGCACACCACATGGGCCAGCCAAAGGGGTGGGTAACTTTCCCCCTTCTTATAGGAAAGGGCCATCAAAAACAAAAAGAAAAGGTGGCCCTATGAATAGTCTCTGTGTGGCCGCTGTCATCACAGGGAGCAACGGCTCCCTCTAAAGACATGATGCCCATGAGTGACAGACACAACCAGGTATCAATGACAAAAACAAATGTCACTAGTGGTCTTTGTGCTCTGTGTTCTATAAAAGGACTTATCTGTGCCATGCATATCAACCACACAGAGAGGCGGTATCATGCAACTGAACCCACAAAAATATTCACAAGAACTTTACTGGTAAAACCTATGACCTGAAACCGGGTACCATTTGACACATTAACATGTAACGTTGACTCATTCTCCTTTGTCTAGTAATGCTGTCTCTGGACTGTGCAGATGGGTGACTTCACAGCTGCCCAGTGAGGCAGGGACTGTTGGCGTACATTCTGTCAAATATACTCCCTGATAGGAAGGAGCTGGTGAAGGGCCTCTCATTGATCTTTGGCCTTGTTACACAATAAGGATCAGCTTTGAAAACAACACAGAACCTCTTGCCTGCTTTAGAAGGTTCTAGCACCTTGTACACGCACATGGTAGATGTACAACATGGGAGATGTACAGCCTGCTTATAAGAATTGCTTTCAGTACAAGGGTAAGGACTAGAATTCTGATCCCCCCCAACACCCATGTAAACTGTGGATGGGCATCACAGTCCCACCTACAATCCCAGTGGGCAAAAAGAGATAGTGCATGCCTGAAATAAGTGGCAATTTGGGTTCAAAAGAGATCCTGCCTCAGTATATACTGTGAAAAGTGACTGAGGAAGACAGTACATCAAACTCTGGCCTCTTCCTCTCATAAGTGTGTGTGTGTGCATACACACACACACACACACACACACACACACAAATAAAATGATTGCTATGTGCTACACAGACTCCTTGATACAGAGAAGCAGGGCAGTGCCCATAGCCCTAGCCAATCCTGAATAGATCTGCACCCCCACCCCAAAGGTGGCCTCACACAGAACTTATTATTGGCCATGTCCACAAAGAGTAACAAGGAACTTGGACTCACAACCTATTGTGAAATAAAGGACCGAATCTAACTTAGGAACCAAGGAGTTTGATAGCCCCTTGACAGCCCCTGAGGAGGAGGGGGGGCAGGCCCTTCATCTGCAAGCCCTGACACCTCCCTCCCCAGTCCCAAGCTGAACAACAGGAGGGAGACGAAGGAGATTCAAGCCTGAGAGCTCCGCGCAGCTTCACGGTACACAGGTGCAAAGAGATTACTCCAAACACACCCCAGACAGAGAGCCACACCCTGACACAAACACAGGGTAAACATACTGTCTGTTCCCACCAACTGGACTGGAAAAAACTTTCCTCTCATAGGGCACTGAGCCAACACCCAGGAAATCCTGCACAGTAGTGCAGAATAATGGGTCTGACACAGTATGGCCCAGAGTTCCCTATGGATCATAAGATGGGTCTGACACAGTGTAGCCCGGAGTCACCGATGATCATAAGATGACATCTGAATGAATCTAACTGTTTCCAAGAAACTGAGTGAGCACAAACCTGAAGAAGCAGCCCCAGAAAGGCAAAACACACAAGGCTAGATACCCAGCAAGACAGACTGACTTGGAAATCAAACAGGGGACGTAGACCCAGATGTGGGTATCAGGAACAGACATTAAGCTGGCGATATCATTTGAAAGCTATTGAAAAACTAAGCCTGGGCTGAGGGTATGGCTCAGTGGGACAGCATCTGCCTGGTGTGCACAAGTACCCATGTTTGCTGCCCAAGACCACAACAGGAACCACCAAAACCAACAAATAATAACATCACTCCCAACAGCAAAGATAAACCCACTGCTTGCTGAGCAGAGTCATGATGGAAAAGGGGTCCAGCTTGAATTTTCAGAGATAAAAACACCAACAGATGGAGTTCAGTTGATCAGCTCAGAGCGGGCAAAGGATCAGGGAACCTAGGAGAAACGGTGGGAACTATCTGGGATGAAGTAAGAAAAGCCAAACAATGATGACAACAGGCCATCAGTGAAACTCAAAGCACTTCGCAGATGTACCTGGAGACTCTGAGGGGAAGGAGCAGGCATGTCTAAATAAACAACAGCCAAACATGCTCCAAAACCCAGCAAAAGCCATCAACACACAGATGCTCCACAGACTCAAGGACATGCAGCTTCATCAGACTCAAATGCTCACAACCAGTGGAAGAGAAAATCTTGCTAAGAGCTAGGAAGATTTTACGCATAGAATAGACTGGCATAATCTGTGCAGCATCCACTGACAGATGGACTGTACAGACAGACGGACCTTAACACCCAGCACAAGAGTGTAACATGAAATAAGAGCTTCTCTCGCAGAAGAGCTGAAGGGTTCATTCCCAGTTCAGGCGCTGCACGGTGTCAAAGGAAGTCCTGGGATGGTATGGGGACCAAGTAGCCACAAGCTTTTTGTACTCTCATCATCACCTGCTGGAATGTGCTTGGCACGGGAGGACTTATCCCAAAAAAATGTTTGCCTGAAGAACCCGCTGCCTGTTAGGGCAGTTAGGAGACTGACTCCTGAGAAGGTGTTAGTGAGATGGTGGCACAGGCCTAAGCTCAGCAGAAGGCTCAGGAGTTCAAGGCCGTCGCTGCTTCTACAGTGAGCACAGGCTACGTAAGACAGCCTGTCAGAAGCAAAAGGACGGGCCAGTGAGACAATAGGAAAAGCAGCGGCTCAAGTCCCAGTGGTTAGAAATCCAAACTCTGCCCGCATTTTCTCTGAAAATACATTTACCAAACCAGCCAAGCAGCTCATAACAGAGAGGGATTCCATAGGAAGGAATCACACTGTCCATATGTCAAAGGACACCTCAAAGTGACTTACTGGTAGTTTCTGATTGAAAGTGGAGATCAGACTAGTCAAGAGCTCTGAGAGCCAGTGGAAGGCAATCAAAAGGCAACAAGTAACTCGTGGGGCAGGGGCACAGGGCAGTCAGGGCTGCAGGTGCTCAGGCAGCGGAGAGCTGAGGCAGCTCCGGGTTGCAGAGGTCTTATTGAAAGGGGGGAAAAAAATCTTCATGGCACTCAAAAAATCGAACTCAGGAATTCTTAAGAATGCCCAGGGAAATTATTAGTCAGATTTAACAGAAACATCAGATGTGAAAAAAACAAAATGTTTGAATAAAACTGAAAATTCTCTAGTTTTATAAAGAGTGCAAATATCCTGGTAGCTCCTCCTAAGTGTGTGAGTGTGTGTGTGTGTGTGTGTGTGTGTGTGTGTGTGTGTGTGTGTGTGTGTGTGTAGCCCAGGCTGGCCTGTCTCCCAATTCTCCTGGCCTATTGGGTGTGGGTACCACACACCTAGATCATCAGGTTTTCTCCGGGCTATGGAGGAATGTGGTCAGATGGGAAGAGCCTGACCTGGGTCATGAGTGCACGTGCCCACCCAGCTGTGACTCACTGTTTCCAAGTGCAGCCCACAGGAAGCACCTGCGTTCCATTAATCTCTACACCTGATCCTGGGGCCTGGGAAGGAGCAGATTACACGGCAAAGGGGAAGGAAGGCTGCTAGATGACTGTCTGGAAGATGGGGAAACATTCTCAGGTCAGCTGTGGAAGCCCTAGGTGATGACAAAGGCACCAGAAAGCAGAACAAACCAGAGGCATAATGAAGATGCACGAAGAGGGGGTATGAGTGATCAGGTGTGAGCCACTGCAGGGTTGAGACAGGCATGGCTGCAAACTGAGTCCAGCAGGAGGAAAAAGCATGGAAACAGACCCGAGATAGTTTAGAAAGGATCGCAGACCTGCTCACACCTCGATATCAGCTCAGGTAGAGTGAACTACCAACAGATAATAGTGTTGCTTTAAGCAGCTGAGTTTGTGATCATTTGTTACAGGTGAAGACCCTGGTCTGCAGGAGAGCCTGACCTGGCCAGTGGTTGAGAAAGCTCTCTGAAGGCAAAGGTCCCAGGCGCCCCCCAGTGGTCAGATGCAAGTTTGATTTGATACAGAAACCTGGCTCTGTACCCAGCAAAAGCAGCATGAGTTTCCCAGGGAAGAAGCTGCAACAGAAAAACTTGAAGCAGATGCAGAAATCTTGGGGATGGCCTGCCCAAGGGCCTTCTTGGAGGCAAGTCAGGTGGAGGAAGTTGGTACGGTAGTTACTGGTCTGGACTGGATCCACATCCTTTACTTATTGGACACAAACAACAAAACGTAGCATCCAATCATCTCCATCTTTTTTAGTTTGAGGGAGTACTCACCCTTCCTTATATAATTTAGCTTCCTTTCATGCAAGGGTAAAATGCTAAGTATATCCATTTAAGGTTGGAAGGAAGTGCCAGGCATTGTTCGGGAAGGATGAGCCACCTCAGCTGCTCCTCCCGAAGCCCGCTGCTCACTCACCTTGTCACAGAACACCTTTATCTGGCAGTAGGCCCGGTGTACTGGCTTGTTGCTGCGGTTGTTGTAGCTGTAGGTGTCAATCTGGATGTTGAGAGGCAAGCCCTTCACACCCTTCTGAGAAGAGAAGTCTGTGCTCAAGCAGTTCACGGAGATGAACACCTGTGAAGGAAGACAAGTCTCCATGAGTGACAACTCCAGCAGTCAGCCCCACCCAGACCGGCCTTTGCAAATGATGGACACTGGAGCCTGCCATGAATCTGTTTTTGTTTTCTCTCACATTACAGCTTATCATCATGAAGGGAAGTCAGCAGGAACATAGTGGCAGGAACTGAAGTAGAGGCCATGCAGGGGAAACGCTTACTACCTTATTCTCCACAGCTTGCTCAAAATGCTTTCTCTTACTACCCAGGACCATCTATCTAGGGTGGCATTGGGACCAGTGGGCTGGGACACTCATGATTCTTAGAAGCAGTGGAGGACATATCCTAAGAGCAGTTCTGAGCATAGGTGTGGAGAGGAAGAGGGGGTGCTCGGAAGCTGTCTAATCCCAGGCTTGCTCTTGAATGTCAGTTTGGAGAAGCAATGTGGAGTAGCCCCCGTGCTAATGTCATTTGCCAGGGACACTGTAGTGTGTCCCCTGGCTGCTAGGGAACAGGTCTGTACACTCTCTGGAATCACCCATTATGGTTCTGCATAATTAGTGAGCATGCTCCATCTCGTCCCCCTTTATGGTCTGGGTTTGAATCTGTCTGATGTGGTCCAGATGCTTTTCATTCTCCAGAGCACTGGCTTTGGAATTAATTTATGGGCACCATACAGAGGATAGGATTAGAATCATAGGTTTATTTAAAATGGGCAATTGCAGAGATGCAAGACCCTATGCCACACAACCGGGATTCCTTCCAATGCCTAGGCCCCAACAGTCAAGGGCAGGTTACCTGAGACACACAACAGTCCCATTCAACTAAGGCACAGCAGGGGTGGCCTTGGGTCGTGAATGGGTATGCAGTGGGGACTGTGTGCTACAAGGACATTGGGTGGAAGAGAAGAGGCCAAGAGAAACTGGAGAGAGAATTAGAGCCACAGTGACAGAGAGCCAGTTCCAGAAGGGGTGCAGGCCTGGCTAGACAGTTACTCTCCTCTGCCTAAGTGGGAAAGGGTCGAACCTCCTAAAGAGCCTGGGGTGTGTACCATCACAGGATCTGAAGATTACCCCTCATCTGTTCCTTCCCAGGTCTTTCTCACTTTCCCTGGACACTGTCAGACTCACCACATGCGGACCCTGCCAGCTCCCTTGCTGACCTGGTCAGGTCCACACACAGCCCTTTCTGCCTGTCAGGGCTGAGGGTCCTGTGGGATCCTGTCCTCCACATAAAACTCGTCTCTTCATACAGGCTGTCACACTCAGCTGTCACACGTGCTTGGACCACGATGTGCTCTTCAGATGCTCTACAGAGCTATCCCTGTGCCCAGAAGAGGGCGCTGTCCCTCCATATTTGAAGCCCCAGGAGCTGTTAGGGCTGGCCCTGGTGGAAAGTGCTTTCCTACCTCTGTGAAGTGATCTTTCCCACACTAACATAATCCCACGGACTTTATTCTTTGGGTGGAGGTTGGGATGGAAGGTGCCCAGATGTATCCCTTTCTCCAGGCTGTTCACACACAGACAATGTGGTATCTTGCTTCTAACAGTTTTCTAATTATTTCCAGTAAACAAACAAAAGTACTTAAAAACAAACAAAAAAACAAAAAAAAAAACTGTGTGTCTGTGTGAGTGCACATGCATGCATGTGCCAGAGGACAACCCTGGGTGCTATCCCATCTGCCAGCTCTGAGGCAGGCCTGCCCTTGGCCTGAAGCTCACTGATGAGGCTGAAGGGTCCATTAGGGACTCCCAGACAGCCTCTTCTTTTCCACTTCCTCGGCACCTGGTGAGGAAGGCACACCACACCCAGGTCCTTGAGCTTGCACAACAAGCACTTTACTGACTGAGTCATTTTCCCAGCCCTGCTTCTTTGTTTAAAGACTTAGGTCTAGATGCACAAGCAGGAAATGGCTCGTGAGATTTCTGAACTGCCTTACTGAAACACCAGTGCTTTGACTTGCTACCTTCTCCTCATAGTTAAAAGAACATTATGAATCCATAAATATGCTAATGAGAGATAGGAGACAGTCTGTGGGAAAAGGGTCGCTGAGATGGTCCAGCAGGTAAAGAAAGGCACCTGCCACCAACCCTGCCGACCTGGAGTCAATGCTCAGAATCCATGGGGTGAAAGGGGAGAGCTGGCTCCCTGACCTCTGACCTCCACATGCATGCTGTGATACATAATACATAAATACATAAATGTGAGAGAAAAGAAATCTGAAAAGGAAAAATAAAATTAAAAAAGGTGAAAAAAGAAGGCAGTCTTTGTAAACAATAGAAGTTACTAACTCACTGTAGGTTTTAATTTCCAACCAAATGTTAAAATCTAAACTTCTGTCCTCCTGGGCCATGTGACACAATTCCTAACTCAAAAGTGGTTCTCCAAATCTAGGAAGCCTCTGACACACAGGGCCATTCCCCTGACAAGAGGATTTCACAGTAGTGCACTCAATCCCCCCCACCCCACCCCCAGCTTCCCAGCTTCAAGCTTCTGCTCCCAGCAGCCAGGGCCCAGGACCAGCCTGAAGGCAGAGAGAGCCTCCAGGAAGCCCTACCTCAAGGTCTTGCTTCCATGTGTTTACTCAGATGCTTCCTACTTATGAGAATCCCTTTCAACTCACAAGACTTCAAAGGTTATCACAAAGGGCTGGGTCATCCTAACTCCTTGACCAGGTAAAACACCACACACCAGTGGGTAGGACAATGTGGGAGACAGATGCACACTGTATGAAGGGCAGTGGCCTGAAGACCCCAGAGCAAACAGCACAGCACTTACTATTCTCATTTCTCACACAGTAGCATTATGGAAGAGATTGTCAGGCCATTCTGGGCATCCTAGGCCAAACCAAGGGATACCCATGCTGGTTTAGGCATTCACCAAAGGCCAACAAAAAAGCAACATCCCCACCCCACCCCCATGTTTTTGCTGGGTGTGTGTGGGGTAAGGTGCTCAACAGAGGAGGATTTGATCTGAAAACTAAAGCAAGTTTGGCCCCACTCTGTCACTAACTAGCGATGTCACATTAACCAGCCAAGGCAGAGGATCTCCAGGTCACTTCCAACTCCAGATCTTTGGATAAGGAAGATGAGCCCCAAGCCTTACTGTCATTACTACAGATAAAATGATCAAATCTGGGGCCATGAAGACCCATGTTTGATCTCCAGTACACACCTAAATCCTGGGTGTGACAGCACATGCTGTAATCCCAGTGCTGAGGAGACAGAGACAAGGGGAGAGCTGGGGTCTGCCCACCCTCAGTCAGTCTAGAGAGCTGGTGAGCTCCATATTCAGTGAGAGACTGTCTCAAAATGCAAGGTGGAAAGTGAGGGAGGGAGGCACCCACTATCAACCTCTGGCTTCTGCATACATGTGCACACACACAGAGATACATTCGTGTGCACATGTGACCACACACACACTCACACACACACACACAAAATGAAAATATGTTTCACCAGTCTGTTCTCGATAAACACTGTTACTTTAAAGGTGCCATGTAACCTCCTTCAATTTGGCCTGGGAACTTGGTAGACACATAGATCTCTTGTGTCCTCCCTCCTCCCCACAGTCACTGCAGGGGAGCTACTGCACACAAAAGCCCTGGGAGCCCATCTCTCAAACACTGGTCCCACCACAGCCATGCTGGAGTCCCTCATGTCCCCAAGCCCGCTAGGACAGGTCACATGGCTGAGGATTTGGACCACCTCTGCTTGAGTAGGTCTGACACCAGGACATCCCCTTCTGGTGTTCCCCGGGTATTCATGTGATCATCCGGGATAACACCACCTTGTGAAGGGACTGGTCTCCCACACACTGGCATACTTCAGGTCACCTATGGTCTCCTTCTGCTCCAAAACCCTGGGGTTATGAAACACGCCCCAGTGCATGATTTAATCCAAAGTGTCTTACAGAGAGAGACATAGACCTACTGGATAGGAATACTCACTAACCACAGATCTTTCTATTTAACAAGGCCATAGCAATCCTCAGCTACTCAGTTGGTAAGAACTTTTCTCTGAATTAACACCTCTGTAAGAACGGGTGAGCTGAGGCTCAGATTCCAGTTGTGACTCTGAACTGTACTACATGAGACCCCTTAGATCACACCAGTCACCTCTGTTCCTGACACCTGGGACATGCCTATACTTAATGCCTATGCTTTTATTATTATTATCTTCTTGGTTCTCTTTGTCCTGGAACTCACTCTGTAGCCCAGGCTGGCCTTGAACTCAGAGATCTGCCTGCCTCTGCCTCCCCAGTGCTCTGGGATCAAAGGCATGTGCCACCACCTCCTGGCCCACATACCCTTTTAGTAAAAGAGAAAACGGAGACGGAGTGTTCCATTTCCTACAAGGTGTCCAGCCTGGGCTTGATGGAGCTTCAACTGAGTTCTAGAGCCACAATGGCTGGCTATACTCAGAGGGCTTAGGGAGGTAGCAAGACACCCAAACACATAAAGTTATTTAAGGAGCACTCCATTCCACATCTCGAATGAATAAGAATAGACCAAGGCAACCCAGTCTGTATAAAATAAGCATTCCAATCATTCTTCCCGGCAGAAGAATCCCACTGATAACATCACAGTGCAAACTCAAAGTCTCTTCCAGAAGCCATCAGAGTCAGAGTGAAACAGATGGTTACACACCCAACTTTTCCATGAAACACATGTGGAAAGACATGCATGAGTGTGCAGACACAAGCATGCACAAGCATGCACCACTTTCAATTCTACAGCTAAAGTCTGCAGGAAGGCTGGCACATGAGTTCCCTTCTGCTGAGTGTTGGGAAGGTCTCTACTTGGAAAAGAACCCTTAACGCTGACTTTTGTTTCTATACTTCCTTGTTGCTTACTCTGAAGTAAAGTAGTGATGTTATTCAACCAATCAACATTAATCTCAAAAGATTACAACTAAAGTCCCCACCCAAAATGGCTATTAGGGAAATAAAAAGCTAAAAACAAACAAAAAAACAAACCCCTAACCACAAAAACCAACTACTGAACAGGCCAAAGATGTT